GAATCCCAAAAAAAAAAGTTGAACAGATCAATGAAACCAAGAATTGTTTTTTGAAAAAATAAACAAAATTGATAAACCTCTAGCCAAGCTTCTCAAAAAGAAAAGAGAGAACACCAAAATAGGGGAAATCGTGAATGAAAATGTATTTACTACAACCAACCCCACAGAAATACCAGCAATTATCAGGGAATACTATGCAAAATTATATGCCAATAAACTGGACAACTTTGAAAAATTGGATAAATTCCTAAACACACACGCACTACCAAAATTCAAAAAGGAAGAGATAGGAAATCTGAACAGACCCATAACTAGTGATGAAATTGAATCCATTATTAAAAATCTCCCAACAAATAAGAGCCCTGGGTCAGATGGCTTCTCTGGGGAATTCTACCAGACATTTAAATCACGGTTTATACCCATTCTTTTCAAGCTATTCCAAAAAATAGAAATCGAAAACTTCCAGACTTGTTCTACGAAGGCCAGCATCACTTTGATTCCCAAACCAGAGACCCAGCAAAAGAAGAGAAATACAGGCTAATATCCTTGATAAATACTGATACAAAAATCCTCAACAAGATACTTGCAAATCGAATTCAACAGCATATAAAAAGAATTATTCACCATAATCCAGTGAGATTCAACCCTGGATTACAGGGTTGGTTCAATATTCACAAATCAACCAGTGTAATACATCAGATTAACAAAAGAAAATATAAAAGTCGTATGATCCTGTCGATGAATGCAAAAAAAAGAATTTGACAAAATACAACACCTTATCTTAATGAAGACCCTAGAGAAAGTCAGGATAGAAGGAGCTTACTTAAACATCATAAAAGCCATCTATGAGAAGCCCTCCACTAACATCATCATCAACAGGGAAAAACAGAGCTTTTCCCCTGAGATCAGGAACACGACAGGGATGTCCACTCTCACCACTGTTGTTGAACATAGTGCTGGAAGACTTGGTGGCAATAATCAGACAACGAAAGTAAATAAAAGGCATCAGAATTGGCAAAGAAGTCAAATTTTCACTTTTCGCAGACGACATGATACTCTACATGGAAAACCCGACAGACTCCACCAAAAATCTGCTAGAACTGATGCATGAATTCAGCAAAGTCGAAGGGTACAAAATCAGCATACAGAAATTGGCGCATTTTTATACACCAAAAATGAAGCAAGAGAAGGAGAAATCAAGAAACGGGTCCTATTCACAATTGCACACACACACACACACACAAAAAACACATAAAATACCTAAGAATAAACCTAACCAAAGATGTGAAAGATCTGTGTGATGAAAACTATAGAAAACGTATAAAGGAAATTAAAGAATACACAAAGAAATGGTAAAAAATTCCATGCTCATGAATCAGAAGAAAAAATATAGTTAAAATATAATTACTACCCAAAGCAATCTACACACTCAATGAAATTCCAATCAAAATTGCACCAGCATTCTTCTAAAAGTTAGAACAAACTATCCTAAAATTTGTATGGAACCAAAAAAGACCCCGAATAGCCAAAGTAGTACTGATGAAGAATACCAAAATGGGAAGCATCACTATCCCAGACTTTAGCCTCTACTAAAAAGCTGTAGTCATCAAGACAGTATGGTGTTGGCACAAGACCAGGTACATAGACTAAAGGAATAGAATAGAGAACCCAGAATCGGACCCACAAATGTTTGGCCAATTAATTGTTGACAAAGCAGGAAACAGTATCCAATGGAAAAAAGACAGCCTCTTTAAAAGAAGGTGCTGGAAGAAGTGGACACCACCATGCAAAAGAATTAAACTAGACCACTTTCTTACACCATACACAGATAAACCCAAAATGGATGAAGGACCTGAATGTGAGACAGGAAACCATCAAAACCTTAGAGGACAAAGCAAGAAACAACCTCCTTGACTTCAACCGCAGCAATTTCCTACTTGACACATCCCTAAAGGCAAGAGAATCAAGAGCAAAAATGAACTATTGGGACCTCATGAGATAAAAAGCTTCTGCAGGGCAAAGGAAACATTCCATAAAACTAATAGGCAACGGACAGAATGAGAAGATAGGTGCAAAGGACATATCAGATAAAGGGTTAGTACCCGAAATCTATAAGGAACTCACTAAACTCCACACCTGAAAAAAAAAAAATCCCATGAAGAAATGGGCAGAAGACATGAACAGACACTTCTCTAACGAGGACATCCAGATGGCCAACAGACACATGAAACAATAATCAGTGTCACTCGTCATCAGGAAAAGAAGTCAAAACCAATGAGATACCACCCCATGCCAATGAGAATGGCTAAAATAAACAAATCAGGAGACTCTAGATGCTGGCGAGGATGTGGAGAAATGGGCACCCTCCTACACTGTTGGTGGGAATGTAAACTGGTGCAGCCCCTATGGAAAACATTGTGACGGCTCCTCAAAAAATTAACTCTAAAACGCCCCTAGGACCCAGCACAGGCACTGCTAGGAATTTACCCAAGGGATACAGGAGTGCTGATGCACAGAGGCACATATATACCCCAATGTTCATAGCAGCACTTTCAAGTATAGCCAAATCATGGAAAGAGCTTATATGTCCATCAAATGATGAATGAATCAAGAATATATGGTTTATCTATACAATGGAATACTACATGGCAATGAGAAAGAACGAAATCTGGCCATGTGTAGCAACGTGGATAGAACTCTAGGGTGTTATGCTGAGCGAAATAAGTCAGGCAGTGAAGGAGAGATACCATATGTTTTCCTTTATAAGTGGATCAGGATAAACTTAAGAGAGGACCATGGGGAGGAGAAGGGGAGAAAAAGTTGGAGAGAGGGAGGGAGGTAAACCATGAGAGTCTCTTGAATGCCGAGAACAAACTGAGGGCTGATGGGGGTGAGGGAGAGGGGAAAATGGGTGATGGGCATGGATGAAGGCACTTGTGGGGATGAGCACTGGGTATTATATGGAAACCAGCTTGACAATAAACTATAAGATATAAATATAAAATATTTTTAAAATGACATTTGATTACATGCTATGACATGGAGTAGCCTTGAAAACCTGTGTTAAGTGAACTTAAGCCATACACAAAAAGGCAAATGTTGTACAATTCCACTTAATTGAGGTGCCTAAAATAGGCCAGTTCTTTTTTTTAGTATTTTTTTAAGGTTTATTTATGTTGGAGAGAGAGAGAGAGACAGAGGGCAAACAGGGGAGGGGCAGAGAGGTAGGGAGACACAGAATCTGAAGCAGAATCCAGGCTCTGAGTTGTCAGCACAGAGCCCAACATGGGGACTGAACTCACAAACCATGAGATCATGACCTGAGTGGAAGTCAGATGCTTACCAATTGAGCCACCCAGGCATCCCTAAAATACACATATTCTTAAAGCCAAAAAGTACATAAAAGTTACCAAATGCTAGGAATATGATGAAGAGCAAGGTGTTTAAAGAGAACAGAGTTTCTAGTCGGGTTGAGAAAAATTTTGCAGATGCATGGTGGTAATTGTTGGACAATATTGTGAATTTACCCAATGCCACTGAATTGTGTGCGTACAAATGGCGAAAAGGGTAACTTCTATGTTTATATATTTTATCTCAATAAAAGAAAATAGAGGAAAAAAGCAAGCAAATCTTAGTTGCTGGGTGACAACATAGAGTCATGAGAGCATGTAAAAAGATGAACATACATAGGTGTGGGCATTGACTGAGGAAATCTTAGTAAAACAAAATATGTTATTTCCAATTAAGAAAAAAATGTCATCGCTTTGGACCTTCCTAGTTTAATTTAATCAGAATCTCTGTGGATGGATCCAAAAATTAATATTTTGAAAACTCCTCAAGTGATTCTAACATGCAAGCAGGGCAGAGAACCACTGAACTATAAATGTATTCCTCTCTGTTTACAACTTTCCTTTATACACATTTAATATTGTGCTACAGTGAATAAAGGCTAGGGCCTGCATATTTGCTTTTGGGCAATAATATCACAAAAGAAGCAGTGCCCCAC